CTCCTCTCCTCTCCTCTCCTCTCCTCTCCTCTCCTCTCCTCTCCTCTCCTCTCCTCTTTCAGGCTGTTGACATCAACTGATTTTTAGTCATAACAAAAGAAAATACAAGTAGTTCTCGACTTACAACCGGTCACTCAGCAAGTGTTTGAAGTTATGACAGACCCCTGAAAAGCTACTTACAATTTAATGTTCCAATGGCTGCTCCTCTAGTCACATTGATCTCATTTTTGACACTCGTCAATCAGTCTGCCTCTACTGCCTTTTGGGTCATGTGACTGTGATTTATGATGGTTTTGCTATCATTTACTTCTGATTTCCAACAAAAAGCAGCCCATAGTGAACAGTAGGTTTGCTTAACGACCGCTGCAATCACTTATTGACTGCTGCTAAAAAAAGTTGTAAAAATGGTTCTGGTTGCATGCTGACCTCACTTTATGACCGCCATGACTTACAACCGTAATTGCCGCGGGGGCGCAGTGGTTAGAGTGCAATACTGCAGGCTACTTCTGCTGACTGCTGGCTGCCTGCAATTTGGCAGTTCAAATCCCACCAGGCTCAAAGTTGACTCAGCCTTCCATCCTTCCGAGGTGGGTAAAATGAGGACCCAGATTGTTGGGGGCAAATATGCTGACTCTGTAAACCACTTAGAGAAGGCTGGAAAGCCCTGTGAAGTGGTATATAAATCTTAAGTGCTAAATGCTATTGCCTGGCTCAGTCTTTACAGCAGAAGTCTTTACATCTGCAGAGTCCTCCAGTGGGGAGCAGATGTTCTAATAAGCAGCCCTCGTTTAGCCTCTGCTTTCTTTTCCTATGCAACAGAAAGGTTGATCTCATTTCTTAATACTCCTGTTACCTGTAGTCCTCGACTTACGGCCACAATTTAGGCCAAAATTTGATTCCTTTTGATCAGTGTACTTCAAGGTTTCCCAACCTTGGCAAATTGAAGGTGACTAGACTTCAGTTCCCAGAATTCCACAGTCAACACAGCTGAGAATTCTGGGAGTTGAAGTCTACTCAAGCTTCAATTTGCCAAGGTTGGGAAATACTGGTGTATTTAGATCCAGATAGTCCTTGACTTAGGACCAAAATTCCTATTGCTAAGCAAGTTGGGGGTTAAGTGAGTTTTGCTCCGTTTTATGAACTTTCTTGCCACGGTTGTTAAGTGAATCACTGCACTTGTTACGTTCATTATTAACTTTATCAGGCTTCCCCCGTTGACTTTCCTTGTCAGAAGGTTACAAGAGGTGATCACATAACCCCAGGACACTGCAACCGTCATAAGTACATGCCAGTTGCCAAGCGTATGAATTTTGATCATATAGCCATGTGGAATGGCCATAAGACTGAAAAATGGTCATACGTCACTTTTTATTCAGTTGTAACTTTGAACAATCACTAAATGAACAGTTGTAAGTCGAAGACCACAGCCATATCTGTGGGCATGCGAGCTTTGCCCTAGTTTAGCTCCAGTGTGCATGTGCACGCTGACCAGCTGATTTTTGGGCCTTCTAGGCCCACCAGAAGTCAGGAAAAGGGCCATTTCGGGCCTCCAGAGGGCCTCTGGGTGGTCGGGATGGCTGTTTTCACCCTCCCCAGGCTCCAAGAAAGCTTCTGGAGCCTGGGAAGGGCAAAAAACAGGCCTGCCTGGCTCACCGTGCCATCGCGTGCCAAAAGTGGGGGGAGCGTGGGGAGTCATGCACACATGCGTGGGGGGGCAGGGCACATTGAATTATGGGTGTGGTTATGCATTCACGAAACCCCCCCCCCCGGTGCTCTCCCCTGCTTTTGGCACGCGTTGGCAAAAAGGTTAGCCATCACTGACTTACATCAATGTAGTTTCCTGCCCTTTTTTACTCTATAGAAATATTTTTTAAAAATATGTTTTAAAAACATTCCAAATATGTTATGGAAGTATAGGTTTGGTGTAAACAATGGCTGCTGGCAGTTGCAATAAAACAAGATTCCATGGCATCCGGAGTGGGAAATCTGGCTTAGTGGAGCTCAGCTAGGCTGGTATATGTTAAGTCATCTCACTGACTGTTTTCGCACAATTAACCTGGATATCAAATTAAATTGGCCTACTATCTGGATTTATAGAACACATTGAATCAACAAGTTTCAGAGTCGTCCTTGGTTCAGATGGGAAGCTGTATGAATTTATAAATAAATAAATGAAATGTGGTCTAAGCAAACAAATGATAACTTCCAGGGAACCTACATTAACCTAGTTAAGTGTGCAGTGCATAGGTATCCAATGGACATTGTAGTCTTGTTCATCTATGAGAATAAAAAAAAATTGACTACCGGTTTGGGCAAACCGGTTTGAACCAGCAGCAGCCCACCACTTCCCTATAGCAGCATCCTAAGAGAAGAAAAGCGGTTTATGTCCAGGATGTGAGGGCTCTGTAGATATTTTCTCAGTCCTCTTGCTGACCCGTGCAATATAGAGGCAGAGCAGAACAGAGTTGGTAGGGACCTTGGAGGTCTTCTAGTCCAACCCCCTGCTTAGGCAGGAAACCCTACACCATTTCAGACAAATGGTTATCCAACCTCTTCTTAAAAACTTCCAGTGTTGGCGCATTCACAGCTTCTGGAGGCCAGATGTTCCACTGATCCATTGTTCTCACTGTCAGAATTCTAACTGCATTCATAATCTTGGCTTCCTTAGATGGGTCTTCCTGGAAGGCCTGACATGATGCTACCCCAAAGTTCAATTCTTACCATTCTCTTTCCCCCACTGCCTCATTTCAGATTTCTTGGAGGAATTTCCCGGGGACGGCCGAGAGTGTGTGAACTGTGGGGCCATGTCCACCCCCTTATGGAGGAAAGATGGCACAGGGCATTATCTGTGCAATGCCTGTGGCCTCTATCACAAAATGAACGGGATCAACAGGCCTCTCATCAAGCCACAGAAACGACTGGTAAGACTTGACGCATGTTGAGATGTTGCTTTTCTAGTAATGTTTAAAGGACCCTCCACACTTATTGATAGTATCTCTAACATGTCTGTGGAGATTCTCTGTCATCCAGGTCATGGTTGTCCCAAAGGTGCTTTTCCAAGAGGCAAATGGACTTTTTGATTTTTTTTCAAGACGTTTCACTTCTCATCCACTTCTTCAGAGACTACAGTTGGTCCAGAACGCAGCTGCGCGAGCTGTCATGGGTGGACCTAGGTACACCCACATTACACCAATTCTCCGCGAGCTGCACTGGCTCCCTATTGGTCTCCGGTCACAATTCAAGGTGTTGGTTATTACGTTTAAAGCCCTACATGGCTCAGGGCCAGGTTATCTTTGAGACCGCCTTCTATCGCATAGCTCCCAGCAACCGGTAAGATCCCACAGAGTTGGTCTCCTCCGGGTCCCGTCAGCTAAACAATGCCGGTTGGCAGGCCCACGGGGGAGGGCCTTCTCTGTGGCTGCCCCAGCTCTCTGGAACCAGTTACCTCCTGAGGTCCGGACAATCCCCACCCTATTGGCCTTCCGAAAAGCGGTGAAGACCTGGCTTTTCCGGCAGGGCTGGGGCCGTTGATCTCGCTCTTGCGATCCGGCGAGATCTGGCCATGAATGGTATGAATGAGTTTTAATGTTTTTAGTTTTTAAATGTTTTTTATTAGGATTTTAAATGTATTGTGAGCCGCCCTGAGTCTTCAGAGAGGGGCGGCATATAAATTGAATTAAATTGAAATTGAATTCAGCTCTAACTGGTTGATGGGGAAGGAGTTCCAAGAAGGCTCCACATTCATTTGCACTATTCAGGTGATCCTGAGGACACAGATAAGCCTCCAAGTCGCCTCGACGACTCTCTGAAAGGATGCAAATGACCAGCTGCCTGCATGTAGTATAAATCATTCCATTTCCCCACCATCCAGTCAGAGCTGAAGAAGCTTCTTGGATGAGAAGTGAAAAGTCTTCAAAGAAAAACCAGAAAGTCCAGTTGCCTCTTGAAAAAAGCACCTTTGGGATCTCTTAACATGTGTTTCACCACCATGACACTGTCAGTCTGAGAGGCAAAAATGGGGCTTCCAAACTTGGAGTTCTTGAACTCTGAAATAGTAAGGGAACAGGTGATCCTTTCCAGTCAGATGAAAAGCATCTAACAACTCCCTTTGCCTTTAGAACATTTCCATTGCTAAGCAAGACAGTTGTTAAATGAGTTTTGCCCTATGGCCACAGTTGTTAAATGAATCATTGAGGTTGTTAAGTGAATCTGGATTCTCCATTGTTGTTTATCAAAAGGTCACAAAAGATGATCACTTGGCCCCAGGACACTGCAGCCGTCATAAATACAGGCCAATTGCCCAAGCCTCTGAATTTTGATCACGTGACCTTGGGGACGCTGCCACGGTCATAAGTGTGAAAAATAGTCCCTTCTTTCAGGGTTGTTATAACGTCGAACAGTTACTGAATGGTTATAATTCAAGGACTTATCTGTATACAGATCTCCCCATTCACTGTATCAAAGGAAGGCGAATTCCAAAATGCTTTTTACAACATTTGTACCCCAAATAATTGTTTTTGCTCTGCAAAGTGGGCCATCAAACCAGCAAGCCAGCTTCTTGGTCGTCATTTTTCAGATTTCACATTTTTAGAAAGCACGCTGACACCCCCTCCACACCCCACAGTTCAGTCTGGGGGAACAAAACCACGGGCCAAGATAAGTTGCGAATTGTCTGCGTTTCTGCCATTCAGAGCTTCGCACTTCATTCTAACAGACTGTAAGAGAGAGAGAGAGAGAGAGAGAGAGAGGGAAAGAGGGAAAGAGAGAGAGAAGGAGAGCAAGAGAGAGAGAAGGAGAGCAAGAGAGAGAGAAGGAGAGGGAAAGGGAGAGAGAGAGAGATGAGAATGAGTATGAGAGGAAGAGAGGGAAAGAGAGAGAGAGAATGAGAGACGGAGAGAGAGGGAGAGAGGGAAAGGGAGAGAGAGGGAGATGGAGAATGAGAGAATGAGAGAGAATGAGAAAGAGAAGGTAAGAGAGAGAGAATGAGAGAGAGAATGAGAGACAGGGAGAGGGAGGGATGGAGAGAGGGAAAGAGAGAAAGAGAGAGAGAAGGAAAGGGAGAGAGAGAGGGTGAGAGAGAGAGAGAGAGAGAGAGAGAGAGAGAGAGAGAGAGAGAGAGTACATCCTCCAGGGTTATTCACCAAACATTCACCAAATGTTGGTTATTCACCAAACATTCCGCCTTGAGTCTTCGGAGAAAGGCGACATACAAGTTGGACAAATAAATTCGTAGCCTCTTTATATTTTTTTCCTTCAGTTGTTTGGAGAATAGATCATACCACACGGCTTCCAAAATATCCCCTCGTCCTTGAGACCCCAATAGCTGAAATTGAAAAACACTGAACTTTCCAGAGTCTAGATAATGTCCTCTTTGGCCTTTTGAAGTGCGTAGAACTGAAAGCAACAGGAGGGGCGAACATATGTTTTGTAGTAGAAGTAGGGAGGAGGAATTGTACAGACCAACAGGATAAAACCTGATATGTGCCTCCCCGCAGCTGGGCTTTAGTAGATAAACGCTGAGCAGATAAAACCATTTTTTTTAAAAAAGGAGAAATCTCAGTGCTGTTTCCTCCGGTCCTTCTTCCACTGCCGGCATCAGAGCTATGCAAGCAGTGGATTTTATTTAATCAAGAAAAACCTTACAACACGAGCTGCGTTTCTGTTCGTATTTGGGATTAGGATGTTCTTGTTTTGAATCCATTTCTTGGATCTCTGGGTTTATTTTCCTTTCTTCTTTCCTTGCAATAAAGTATGAAGGGGGGGGGGGAGAGGGAAATAACAATGACAACTCTGGAGCAAGGCTTCACCAGAAAAGTCCACTGGCTTTGGAGAGCGGGTGAAACTTCTGGGCATTATTTTGAATAAACACAACTGGAAACTCACAATGCAGAGAAAGCTTATCAACTGCATTTGGAGCTGCTTTAGGTAGTTCCGCGGATTAGCTTTCTGCTTAAGGACTTGGCCTGATTTTGTATAAACAAACCGGGTTGGCCCAGCATTGAAATCAGCAACTTCGAGCAAGGTCAACCCTTTGCAAAAGGCGGTTGGAGTACGAGGGAGGAGAAATTCACTCTCTGTGCTGAAAAAGCGTAGGAATGATTTGGAGGCTCCCCCCACCCCCTTTCCATTAGCCAAACAAGATTTTTTTTCTTCTTCTTTCGTTTCACTGGTGTTGCCAAATGTCAAAACAAAGGAACGTGTTACTCAAGTGTGCTTTAGAAATGCAGCCTTCTTCCTTGAAGGGCTGTGTAACACGCAGGTAATCCTCGACGTACGGCCGCCAAATTCTGCCCCATTTGAGGACTGTATGGGCCACAGTTGATAAGGGAACCGCTGCGGTTGTTAAGTTAGTAACACGGTTGTTAAGTGAACCCCCATTGACTCTGCTTGACGGAAAGGGGATCTCGTGACCCCAAGACACTGCAACTGTCATAAATATGAGTCCGTTGCCAAAGTGGCTAAATTTTGATCATGCGACATGGGGATGCTGCAGTGATCATAAGCGGTGATGAGTTGGCCATGGCAAGTTGGCTGCATAGCCCCTGTTGGGGTGACCAAGGGCGAGGGTTAACAGTTTAACAGAGTTGGAAGGGACCTTATAGGACATCTAGTCCAACCCCCTGCTCAAACAGAAGACCCTACACCATTTCTGACAAATGGCAGTCCAATCTTTTCTTGAAAGTCTCCAGTGATGAAGCTCCCACAACTTCCAAAGGCAACTTCTGTTCCATTGGTTGATTGTTCTCACTGTCAGAAAGTTCCTCCTCATTTCTAGGTTGACCCTCTCCTTGGTCAGTTTCCATCCATTATTCCTTGTCTGGCCTTCAGGTGCTTTAGAAAATAGCTTGACCCCCTCCTCTCTGTGGCAGCCCCTCAAATATTGGAACGCTGCTATCATGTCGTCTCTGGTTCTTCCCTTCACTAGACTAGCCATGCCCAGTTCCTGTAATAATTCTTCATATGTTTTAGTCTCCAGTCCCCTAATCATCCTGGTTGCTCTCCTCTGCACTTTTTCTAGAGTCTCAACATCTTTTTTATAGTGTGGTGACCAAAACTGGATGCAGTACTCTAGGTGTGGTCTTATTAGGGCTTTATAGAGTGGTATTAGTACCTCTTTTGATCTTGATTGTATCCCGCTGTTAATGCAATTTAGGATTGCATTGGCTTTTTTGGCTGCCACTGCGCACTACTGTCTCATATTTAGCTGATTGTCCACTAAGACTCCAAGATCCCTCTCACAGTCACTGCTATTAAGCCTGGTTTCCCCCAGTTTATATGTGTGCTTTTGGTTTTTCTTATCCAAGCGTAAGACTTTACTTTTATGTTTCTCATGTTGTAGAAACATTTAGAAGTTCACAGAAGTTCTCCTAGTTTAGGGTCATATTTACATGCCAGTTGCCAAGCACCCACATTTTGATCATGTCACCATGGGGATGCTGCAATGGCCATAAGCGTGGAAAACAAGTCATTAGCCATTTTTTTCAGTGCCGGCGTAACTTTGAATAGTCGGTAAACGAACTGTTGTAAATCAAGGATTATCTGTATCAGCTAAGAGCAACATGTTGTGCATTTGGGGGTGAGGTGCATTTAAAACCACCAAAAGGCCATTGGGGAATATTCAGAAGCCTCTTTATTGTTCCTTGAAGTCGGGATAGAATAGGGGTGTCAAACTCGATTTCATTGAGGGCCACATTAGGGTTGTGTTTGACCTTGAGGGCAGAGGTGGTATTCAGCAGGTTCTGACCAGTTCTGGAGAACCGGAAGCGGAAAATTTTGAGGAGAACTGATAAATACCACCTCTGACTGGCCCCGCCCCCATCTATTCTCTGCCTCCCGAGTCCCAGCTGATCGGGAGGAAATGAGGATTTTGCAGTATCCTTCCCCTGCCACGCCCACCAAGCCATGCCCACAGAACTGGTAGTAAAAAATTTTGAATCCCACCACTGCTTGGCGGGGGGCTGGGTGGGCGTGGCCAGCTCAACATCACCTGTGTTGGGGGCACCTGTGGTGACCCGAGCACTCGGCCAGCATAAATGGGCTCCTGAGCTCCCTTTTTGGCTGTTATGGCCTCCCGCAAACCCTCGGCCAGCAAAAACGGAGCTCAGGAGGGCCACATGCAGCCCTCCCGAGCTCCGTTTTCGCTGGCAGAGGTACTACGGCAGGGGTGGGTTCTACTTACCTTTACTACCGGTTCGCATTGTGCCCTTCCACGTGCTCACTTCGCTCACACACACACACACGCATTCTTCTGCGCATGTGCAGATCGCCTATGACGATGTCCGGGTCAGTGGGTGGAGCCTCCCGCCGGTTTAACTACCGGTTCTTGCGAATCAGTCTGAACTGGGGGCAACCCACCACTGCACTGCTGGCCTGTCCTTCGCTATTTCCAGGGCATCCCCGTGGGCTAGATCTAAGCACCCCTGTGGGCCGGATCCAGCCCCTGGGCCTTGAGTTTGACACCCCCTGGGGTAGAAGAAGCTAACCACAATTCTTTTGGAAGGCCAAGAAAGAGACTCAAAAAAAGGCAGCTTCCAGAATGACTGCACTTTCTACTTTTAACAACTGTTTTTGCAAAACCTAAATGTTGAAGCGTCTCCTCTGCCTTGTCACGCCATCCATTTTACACTAATGCTGATCAGCGCTTATGAAGTTTGCCGAGCTGGGCATTCGAGTTCCTGCTTCTTTCACTTAATCCATCATTCGTGGTCCCAAGTTTTTAATAGTAAAGTAAACAGATATGAAATTCTCCGGCGCGTACATAATTTCCAAAGCAGCTGGATTATGATCCTCACAGGCAGAAACTTTCTCTCGCAAAGGTTGCAAAGTATTCCTGAAGCACCTGAAGTGAGAACTGAAGCGAGACCCGGTCAAGTCTGTGATCTAGTTTTGCAAGCAGCCACTTGGAGAAGTTTTGTGTTCTGGAGATCCTCCCACACCACCCAAAAATTGTCCCTCGACAGTTAACATGTCAAGAAAAGGTCAGGCTAGCAAGAATGGAGAGAAACTGGGAGCCTTCCAAGGGTTGCTGAACTACAATTCCCAGTATCCTCTTGTTGGGGTCGGAATGGGGCAACCCACTGTGGCCAACTCACCACGGCCAACTCGCTGCGGGACAATTCACCATGACCAACTCACTGTACAACAACTCGCCACGGGACCATTTAAGAATTCAATTGAATTATTTTAAATAAATAAAAATATTTCAATTTTTTGTCATACATTCTGTCCTTCCTTTGGCATCCTTTCTTGAATGATTCTATTCCCACCATTTGTTTGATCTTAGTGTAACTCTTGTCCCTCAGTGAGTTGGCCCGTAGAGAGTTGGCCATGGCAAGTTGACTGTGGTGAATTGTCCTAGATCAGGGGTCAGCAACCTGTGGCTCTGGAGCTGCATGTGGCTCTGGAGCCACATGTGGCTCTTTCACCCCCCTGCCGCGGCTCCCTGTCACTCAAAATATGCATCATAACCACCAATGTGCAACACCCGCCGGCATGAGATTATTGAGCTTTTCAACCCCCGGTAGGCCAACCATGGATAAATCCAAGAAAAGAAAAGTTTCAGAAGAAAACAGAATGTTTAATTCAACTATATAAATCAAATTTAAAAAAAAACTACATATGCTAATTTTTTGGCCGCTCAAAAAATAGTCAGGCACGGGAAGGGTTTTGTGGCTCCCGGTGTTTTCTTTTCTGTGGGAAATGGAACATCCATTGGGCTAATTAAAAACTCCCACCTAAATATATAGATTTAATCTGAAGAATTAAGAGGGTGGGGTGGGAAAAATAACCTGATGCATTTTTCATAGAATTAATTTCCATTTAAGGAAATTTGAGAGAGAGAATGAGAGAGAGAGAGAATGAGAATGAGAGAGAATGAGAATTTGAGAGAATGAGAATTTGAGAGAATGAGAATTTGAGAGAATGAGAGAGAATGTTCTAAAGTTTCAGAAGAAAACAGAACGTTTAATGCAACTACATATGCTAGTTTTGTGGCCGCTCAAGAAATAGTCAGGCACGGGAAGGGTTTTGTGGCTCCCGGTGTTTTCTTTTCTGTGGGAAATGGGTCCAAATGGCTCTTTGAGTGTTTAAGGTTGCAGACCCCTGGCCTAGACCCGTGATGGCGAACCTATGGCACACATGCCAGAGGTGGCATGCAGCGCCCACTCTGGCATATGAACCGTCACCCCAGTTCAGCTCCGTTGTGCACGTGCCCACCCCGCCACCAGCCAACTGGTCTTCGGGTCTCTGTCACACATGTGTGGCAGGGCGGGGCATGTATGGAGGCACAAGTGCATGTGTGGCGGGCCGCGTGTGAGGGGGGCATGGGCGCATGCACGGGGAGGGGGGCAGGGTGCATGCAGGGGGCCACATGTGTATTGCATTTTCCGGGTTCGGGCGCACTTTGGGTACTCGGTCCGGAAAAAGTTAGCCATCACTGTCCTGGACCCTGTTGGGCTGACCAAGGGCAAGGTTTGATGGGTGTTGCAGAAACATTTAGTAGTTCACAGTTGCCCCTCCTAACTTAGGGTCGTATTTAAATGCCAGTTGCCAAGCATCCAAATTTTGATCATGTGACCATAGGGATGCTGCAATGGTCATAAGTGTGGGGACTGATTATAAGTCTCCACTAACATCAAACACTTGCTAAATGAATACAGAGAATTCATTCAGCGTGCAGAGAAGAGCAACAAAGATGATGAGGGGACTGGAGGCTAAAACATATGAAGAACGGTTGCTGGAATTGGGTATGTCTAGTTTGATGAAAAGAAGGACTAGGGGAGACACGATAGCAGTGTTCCAATATCTCAGGGGCTGCCACAAAGAAGAGGGAGTCAAGCTATTCTCCAAAGCACCTGAGGGCAGGACAAGAAGCAATGGGTGGTAACTAATTAAGGAGAGAAGCAACTTAGAACTAAGGAGAAATTTCCTGACAGTGAGATCAATTAACCAGTGGAACAACTTGACTCCAGAAGTTGTGAATGCTCCAACACTAGAAGTTTTTAAGAAGAGATTGGACAACCATTTGTCTGAAGTGGTGTAGGGTTTCCTGCCTAAGCAGGGAGTTGGACTAGAAGACCTCCAAGGTCCCTTCCAACTCTGTTATTCTATTCTATTCCTATTCTCTTTTCTTCTATTCATTGCATGTTTAGCACTACCTGTAATAACGATCTGTTTCCTACCCTTTGGAGCAGAGGAATGATCTGAATGCAAATTTGCTTGTACAGTTTAAGAGCCTTTTCTTTTTTAAAAATTCTAACCACCTTAAAAGCAAAAGAGCCAGAGAGTTTCTACCAATGCAATGAACTTTGATCCTGGGAAAACATATGGGCTAAGTTTTAAAGTTGTCCTTTGATTTATCACACATGTATTTTTCCGCCTTGGAGTTTTATCATGGGAATAAAAAGTTGGTTAACTCACAAGGTTCATTTAGCACCACAAGGCAGGAAAAATGCAGTTGCTTTAATGAGTCACTCAAACAATTCTGAAAGCAGCCACAACTTTTCTTGAATTGTGCAAAACCCTTTTTTTGGGTACACATCAAAGCACGTAAAAAGAAGAAAAAGCAGGTGGGGTTTGGATTACACAACTGTGGTTGCCATTTTGCTTTTTTTGATCTACACACACTTTCCCATAGACACTCCTTAAAGAAGAAAAGGAAAGAGAAAAAAAAAGTTACAAAATGGAATTAATACAGTTAATAATCCCATGATAGATAGATAGATAGATAGATAGATAGATAGATAGATAGATAGATAGATAGATAGATAGATAGATAGATGATAATGGATAGATAGATAGATAGATAGATAGATAGATAGATAGATAGATAGATGATAATGGATAGATAGATAAATAGATAAATAGATGATAGATAGATAGATAGATAGATAGATTATAATGGCTAGATAGATAAATAGATAAATAGATGATAGATAGATGATAGATAGATAGATAGATAGATAGATAGATAGATAGATAGATAGATAGATAGATAGATAGATAGATGATAATGGATAGATAGATAGATGATGGATGGGGGAGTAAACGACTGTAAGAAATGGCTCTGATTTAGAACTATAGAAATATAAAGGGAGAAAAAGAGAAAAGGGGAAAAAGAGAAAGAAAGAGAAAGAAAACACACAGTGCTAAATCTTTGGCTCAGCTTCTCAGCTTGTCCTCTGGTGCTTTGTGAAAGATTTTTCCCCTGGCAAAAGTCCACTTAAATTCAGGGAAGAGGATTTAAAGGGATATTACCAGACTATGTCACAACCCTTAAAAACAAAACAAAACACCATGCACACTGCAAAAAGACATGATCTCAGCAAACTGTTATTGCTTCCAATAAATTGTGTTTTCTTTAATGTGGGATTAAGGCTTTTCATGTTTCGGGAAATGGTTTTAATTTCGATTGCCTCCGAATGGATGCTTCATCATACTTTTCTTTTTCCTTAGCTCCCCCTCCTTCCAAAAATTGTGCTTCTCTTCTTAAGACTATTTCTCTCCTCTTTTGGCAGTCTTCAACTCGTCGAGCCGGTCTTTGCTGCACTAACTGTCACACAACCAACACAACCCTCTGGAGACGGAACTCAGAAGGGGAGCCGGTGTGCAACGCATGTGGATTATACATGAAACTCCACGGGGTAAGAGGAGAGCATAGCTTGATGTGTTTATTATGTTTGAATACCTTGATGTATCGATTGTCGTTAGCGATTATCATTCAGAAATACAGTAGTGGCCAAAATTGGGGAAAACCTTTTGGGAAAAGTGTATTTTTGAGGTTTGGTGGCTAATACCACTACTTTTTTTTTTTTTTAAGTTTCAAGATAATCCTATTCCACTGCTGGAATGGCCTGGGAATAGCCCAGACTGTAACCCAATTGAAAATCTAGGGAGCCAACTAAAGAAACTTCTTAGTCAGAAGCGACCCAGCAATAAAACCCAGGTCACAAATAGCATTCACATGATCCCCGGATGCTGTAACCATGCTAAATATATGCCAGTTGCCAAGCTCCCAAATTTTGATTACATAAACCATGGGGATGTGGCAATGATTGTTGGGGTTGTAGCTTACTTTTATCCGGGACGTTGTAACAATTGCTAAATGAGGGGTTGTCATTTGATAACTACATTTACTGATGAAGTCCATCCAGAGAATCCCTTCCAATTTTTTAACCACGGTCTCAGCATCAGCTCTCCCAAAATCAAAAGTCCATCTTTTGTCCCCGAGAGGCAAAAGTTTGCTTGGCGTGTGGTTGTTGTAGAGCAGGGGTGTCAAACTCAAAACCCGGGGGCTGGATCCGGCCACGGGTGCTTAGATCTGGCCAGTGGTGAATTTGTTTTACTACCAGTTCTGTGGGCGTGGCTTGGTGGGCGTGGTGTGGCTTGGTGGGCGTGGCAGGGGAAGGATACTGCAAAATCCACATTCCCTCCCCACTCCTGGGGCCAGCTAGACGTGGTATTTGCCAGTTCTCCGAACTACTCAAAATTTCCGCTACCAGTTGCTCAAAATTTCTGCTACTGGTTCTCCCGAACCTGTCAGAACCTGCTGGATTTCATCCCTGGAACTGGCCCGTGAAGGAGCGGCCCATGGTGCATCTGCCAGCAAAAACAGCTCGCGAGGGCTGTGCGCAGCCCTTCCAAGCTCCATTTTTGCTGGCAGAGGATTGCAGGAGGCCACCGCAGCCAAAAACGGAGCTCGTTTTCGCTGGCAGAGCACTCAGACCACCATATGTGCCCCCTCCTGACATGAGTGACATCATGCTGTCCACGCCCACACTGACCAGCCCCCCCCACACACCCTACAGCCCCTGAGGTCAAACACATCCTTGATACAGCCCTCAATGAAAACGAGTTTGACAACCCAGTTGTAGAAGATGAAGCCTGGTAGGAAAGATAATATATCATTCAGAAAACGTTCCAAATATTGTGCCTCGCTCGTTTCACTAGCCAAGGACGGCCATTGAGGAAAACAGTTTGCAGCGAAGGACAAGGACGTCATACATATTTGTGTGCAAATACCAGGTCCACATGCAGAAAAGAATGTGTGGCAGGCACCCAGAGCAGAAATGCAGGCCTAAACCAGTATTGACGGTTTGTGCTCTTTTTTTCTCTCTCTCTTTTTTTTAATATCAAGGTGCCAAGACCTCTGGCAATGAAAAAGGAAAGCATCCAGACCAGAAAACGGAAACCTAAAAATGTCAATAAAGGCAAATCCTCAGCAAACAGTAAGCATTTCATTATTATTCTGTTTCTTAGTGCATAGCTAAATGTCTATGGAGATTCTCAGTCATCCAGGTCAGGGGTCCCCAACCCCTGATCCATGGGTAGGTGCTGGGCTGTGGCATGCCAGAAACTGGGCCACACAAATAAGCAAAGCAGGATGCAAGCAGCATGAAAACCCCTCCCCCACTCCGGTCCAGGGGAAAAAAAACTCTCACCACAGAACTGGTCCCTGGTGCCCAAAACATTGGGGGCCATTGCAGTAGAAGGCCATCTTGAAGTCCCAAAAGGTTTGTGTTTGTTTGTATGCAGTTTGTTCATTATTGCGCAGTGGTTAGAATGCAGTATTGTGGGCTAATTCATGGCTCACTGCCAGCAGTTCGATCCTGACCGACTCAAGGTGGACTCAGCCTTCCATCCTTCCAAGGTTGGTAAAATGAGGACCCAGATTGTTGGGGGCCATATGCTGACTCTGTAAACCGCTCAGAGAGGGCTGTAAAGCACTATGAAGTGCAGGGGTGGGATTCAGCTAGTTCGGACCGATCAGGGCGAACCGGTAGTTACGGCCAGTGGCTGGGCCCGCCCACCCGCCCCGGCGCTATCCCGCCTTATACAATCGCTGTGTTTTTGAAGCAGCATACATCAGTGGGGGGTTGTCCCCGGTTCGCACCAGTTCTATAGAACCGGTAGTAAAACTGGTGGGAGGCTCCGCCCACTGATCCCGACGTCATCAAAACGCTTCTGCGCATGCGCGCGAGCGAAATGAGTTGCCGTGCATGGCTCCGCCGCGAACCGGTAGTAAAGGTAAGTAGAACCCACTCCTGGCGTACATGTGTAAGGCGCACACGTGAGCAAAGCTATCCCTTCCTATACAATCACTGTGTTTTTGACGCAGCATGCTGCGTGCATAGCCAGTATGCACACATGCTCACATTTTTGATTCTGGGGGAACCGGTTGTTAAATTATGTGAGCCCACCTCTGATGGAGCGGTATATAAATCTAAGTGCTATTACTATTAAATTATCTGGAAAGAGCAGAAAGGAAGAAGACAAGTTATTCTTTGGCTGAATTCAAACAGGATTCTAACGGATAATGTAGTTTGGTTGATTTTAGCTTAGCGTAGCCATCTCTAGCTTAGAAGCATCAAGGCATGTTGGACTGCTTAAACAATATCTGCCATCCTAATGCATATGACAGAGTCCAGTGGTGGGCTTCAAAATTTTTTACTACTGGTTCTGTGGGTGTGGCTTGGTAGGAGTGGCATGGCTTGGTGGGCGTGGCAGGAGAAAGATATTGTAAAATCTCCATTCCCACCCCACTCCAGGGGAAGGATATTGTAAAATCTCCATTCCCTCCCCAATCCAGGGAAATGTTACTGCAAAATCCCCATTTCCTCTCGATCAGCTGGGACTTGGGAGGCAGAGAATAGATGGGAGCAGGGCCAGTCAGATTTTTATTACCGGTTCTCCAAACTACTCAAAATTTCTGCTACCGGTTCTCCAGAACTGGTCAGAACCTGCTGAAACCCACTTCTGAAAGAGTCCCATTGGGAAATGCAGGCAATGTATTGTGTGAATGCATCCATTGTGGCTTGCAGATTTTAGTTTGCATCCTGGTTTTACAGATGTGCCCAGCTAGTAGTTATTTCAACAAATTATGTGTAAGCAAGCGGATCGCTTTGTCTGATTCGTGAACTACATTTTTTTGCAGCTCTGGACAACAGGGAGTTGTGTTTTATTCTCAACCTTGCCCTGTCCAAATTCTTAGCCTGAAGCACTACAATTCATGTGATTTTGGCGGCTCTAACAAAGAATGATGGTTGAAGATTGATTTTAGTCATTTTGAACTGTAAACCTTCTTGAGTGCTTTGGCAGCAAGATTGTAAATAAATGCATAAGAAAATCCAAACAAAATGTTACGTAGGGCAGACAGTTTCGGAGATTTCTACTACCTCTGCCCTCTTCTTCCTGTATTTTCAGCTCAACTCCCACCAATTTTGAAATGTTTTCTTGTCCAGCAGTTTGCAAAATATTCCTGGTATTTCATGGCCACTGAGTGTACTAACGCACATTAAGTTATTCGGATTTATTTAAGTTTTCTTTTTTTATTTGTGAAAACGTTGGGCTTCCCTCTACAATGCTAGCAGTGCCGTCTCAGTGTCAAAAGAGTGATTTAAAACTCTGTTTTTTTTACCGTATTGTTATTCCGCTGGCATGGTCTTGAGATAATTTCCCTCTTACTATAGAATTTCTGATTTTAATGCTTATTTTCTTGACCCTGTGGAGAGCTCCTTTGGTAATTGGGACAGCTAATAAATTGATTTTAAAAAATAGAAATGGAGTAGCAACTGTATTAGAATCGGCTAATGGAAAGTTAAGTTAGAATCCTAACCTGGAGACAATCAGATGGAATGGCATTGGGCTTTCAGCATCATACAGGTAGTCCTCGACTTATGACCACAACTGAGCCCAAAATTTCTCTTGCTAAACGAGACACTTGTTAAATTAGTTTTGCCCCATTTTATGACCTTTCTTGCCACCGTTGTTAAGTGAATCACTGCAGTTGTCAAAGTATTCAGTGAATCTGGCTTCCCCATTGACTTTGCTCATCAGAAGATCACAAAAGGGGATCCCGTGACCCCAGAATACTGCAACCGTCATAAATATGAACCAGTTAACCATGCATCCAAATTTTGATCACATGACCCCAGGGATGTTGCAATGGCCATAAGTGTGAAAAATGGTCGTAAGTCCATTTTTTCAGTGCCATTGTAACTTCCAACGGTCACTAAACGAATAGTTGTAAGTCAAGGACTATTTGTATAGTATAGGGCAGTGATGGCTAACCTTTTCTGGACCGAGTGCCCAAAGCGCGCATGCGCGAACCCCCAAAATGCAATGCGCATGGGCCCCTGCATGCGCCACCCCACCCACCCCCTGCGCATGCATGGCAGAGACCTGAACACCATCTGGCCACAAGGAGGCACGCGCACCTACGCAGCAGAGCTGAACTGGGGGAACAGCTCACATGCCCTCAGAGAGGATGCTGCATGCCACCTGTGGCATGCGGTGCCATAGGTTCGCCATCACGGGTATAGGGCAGTGAAAACTTTTTGAAGTAGATGGAAATACTAATGAATGACAGTACAAAAGGATTGTAAATGGTAATTGCTGGATCTGCATCATAGATGGATAGATAGATATAGATAGATGATAGATAGATGATAGATAGTTAGATAGATAGATAGATAGATAGATAGATAGATAGATAGATAGATAGATGATAGATAGATAGATAGATAGATAGATAGATAGATAGATAGATAGATAGATAGAAAGTAGATGGATAGATAGAAGATAGATAGATAGATAGATAGATAGATAGATAGATAGATAGATAGATAGATAGTAAGTAGATGGATAGATAGAAGAGAGAGAAGAGAGAGAAGATAGATAGATAGATAGATAGATAGATAGATAGATAGATAGATAGATAGATAGATAGATAGATAGATAGTAAATAGATGGATAGATAGAAGAGATAGAAGAGAGAGAGAGAAGATGGATGGATGGATGGATGGATGGATGGATGGATGGATAGTAGATGGGTAGATAGAAGAGAGAGAGAGAGAGAGAAGAAGATGGATGGATGATGGATGGAAGGATGGATAGATAGATGTATAGTAAGTAGATGGATAGAAGAGAGAGAGAGAAGATAGATGGATGGATGGATTGTAAGTAGATGGAGAGATAGAAGAGATAAAAGAGAGAGAGAGAGAGAAAGAGAAGATAGATGGATCGATAGATGGCAGACATAGATGATAGATAGATAGATAGATAGATAGATAGATAGATAGATAGATAGATAGATAGTAAGTAGATGGATAGATAGAAGAGATAGAAGAGAGAGAGAGAAGATAGATAGATAGTAAGTAAGTAGATGGATAGATAGAAGAGATAGAAGAGAGAGAGAGAAGATAGATAGATAGTGATAATGATGATGGTGATAGATAGATGTAGATAGATAGATGATGATAGATGATGATGATGATAGATAGATGATAAGATAGATAATGATTGTTAACAGATTGATAGATAGATTGATAGATGATAGATGATGTTAGATATATTCTAATATATATTTTTCTATCACTCTCAGGTTCCACAACTTCCACCAACAACTCTCCTTCCTCACTTACAAACTCAGAGAGCACCGTCACTTTAAAAACCGAACCCGCCATTACACCACAATATCCGGGACAAGCAATAGTGTCAACATCCCAGGTCAGTAGAGTCAGCAGGGACCTCACATCAACGTAATCAGTCCTCGATTTACAATCACGTTTGGGGCTGGAACATCCGTAGCTAAGGGAGGCAGTTGTTAAGGGAGTCGTGCCCAATCTTACGACCTTTTTTTTTTTTTGGTCCCAGAAATTAAATCACCACTGTCATTAAGCAAGGCATGCAGTCATTAAGTGAATCTGACTCACCCACCCACCCACTGACTTTTTTGGAAGCCCGTGGGGACGGTCTGTACAACTTATTTTGCCACCGTTGTTAAGAGAATCACTGCAATTGTTAAGTGAATGAGGCAGTTGACTACCCGTTGACTACGAAAGTCACACATGGGGAGTCCTGGATGCCTGGCATGCTGCAACCATTGTAAAGGCATGCCATCTGTAAGCGCCCGAATGTTGATCGTGTAACTTGTGGGCACGCCCATGGTTGTGACTGTGAGGACTGGTTGTAAGCCAGTCCTTTTTTTCAGTGCCTTTGTAATTTCGAATGGGCACTAAACGAAAGACAAGGACTCCCCTGTAACAATAGCCAGAACAATACCTAACCATTGTCTTTAAAGGTAAAGGTTCCCCTCGCACATATGTGCTAGTCGTTCCCGACTCTAGGGGGCGGTGCTCATCTCCATTTCAAAGCCGAAGAGCCAGCGTTGTCCAAAGATGTCTCCATGGTCATGTGGCCGCCACAACTAAACACCAAAGGCGCACAGAACGCTGTTACCTTCCCACCAAAGGTGGTCCCTATTTGCATTTTTTATGTGCTTTCGAACTGCTTGGTTGGCAGAAGCTGGGACAAGTAACGGGAGCTCACCCCATTACGTGGCACTAGGGATTCGAACCGCTGAACTGCCGACCTTTTGATCGACAAGCTCAGTGTCTTAGCCACTGAGCCACTGCATCCCCTAACCATTGTTTTTAAGGATGTCCTATTGGTGGTGATGAACTCATTTATTTTATTGTTGACCTTTGCAGGGTCCCGGACATTCTGAAAACGGGCTGGAGGAGCCTCATCCCCAGTTCAAGTATGAGCCAGAAGACTACACCTTCCCATCTGCCATGTCCCAACCATCAGGTCTAAGTGTTGGCCCCCGTCAAGACTCATGGTGCGCCTTGGCCCTGGCGTAAGCAAATCAGCCTTCCGTTTGAAAAACCAAGGAATCCCTTCTACCATCCTTCAGGACATCACTGGACAGCAGACAAGATTTCCGGACTGTAATCCTTTGGATCTGCCAGGTTTCTTGTAATCAATATGGTTTTCTATTCCTTGGGAGATACCTTCCTTCCTTCTTCTCTACGGAGGCCATCCCGCCTGCCATCTTTTGCTGCTGACTCCCTTTTTTGGCCCTTTGAATCTCTAAGAAAGTTGATATTCTTTCGCCAATCAAAAAAAGAAAAAAAACCAGAAAAGGGATTTGGGGAGCTCTGACCTCAGCCATGAGCCCCTCTTTCTCCCTTCTCCCGAGATCCATCCGAAAGCGATAACAATCGATGTTGTCTTCACAGTGATTCGTCTCTTCCTTCCCCTCTTCTTCTTTTCTTCTTCTTCTTCTTTTTTTTTTTTAATGACTCCCTTGTGTGCAATTTTATTCTTAAATAAAGAGGATGGTAACATCTTGACATCAAGTCATTTCATTTGTTAGAAAGCCAAACGGGGCCGCCCGCCCTCACATCGCGCCGTGAATGAAAGGGTGGGAAAATGTGGAGGTTCCTGAAAAGTTTCAAGCCCTCGCCCCTCCCTCTCTCATTTTGAGTTTGAGGTTATTTTTTTATAATTTAGGGGGAACTCGTGACCTGTTCTTGCCTTCGAGACGGATGTTTTTCAACTTGGCAAACCAGCCTGGGATTTCCAGTGATCTGCTAATTCAACTTTGGTTGTTGTTTTTCGTGACTAGACAAGGTCAGTGAGACAGACCTTGGGATCGGAGTGCAAAATTAATTGCATATTTTTAAAAAAGATACACGTAGATGTTCCCAAGTATGGCTCGGATAGGGGAAGTGTCTCTGCCTTCCATCATGCTATATCAGAAAAACAGAATAGGGGAGTTGGAAGGGGCCTTGGAGGTCTTTTAGTCCAACCCTCTTGCTTAAGCAGGAAAATCAGACAAATTTATTTTATTTTCTTATACTTATATGCCGCCCTTCTCCCAAAGGACTTGGGGCAGCTCACAGAAATTAAAACAATGAAAACAATAAAAATAGCTACTAAAATAATCAATTAAAATCTCCCAATTAAAATCACCCATCAGATCAGCAAATTTGTTGGAAAAGCCATGTCTTCAGGTCACGGCGGAAGGAGCGGAGGTCGGGGGCCATCCGGAGCCCCATGGGTAACCCATTCCAGAGGGTCAGTGCGCCCACAGAGAACGCCCTCATCCTGGGCGCCACCAGCCGACATTGTCTGGCCGATGGCACCCAGAGGAGGGCAGTCCTATGTGAACGCACAGGACGGTGGGAGGCAGGCAGAAGGTGGTCCTGCAGGTACCCCGGGCCCATGCCATGTAGGGCTTTATAGGTAAGTACCAGCACCTTGAAGCGGATCCGAAGGACCACCGGTAACCAGTACAGCTCGCGCAGGAGAGGTGTAATACGGGAGTAACAGGAAGCTCCCGTAACAACCCGTGCGGCCGCATTCTGGACCAGTTGGAGCCTCCGGGTACACCCCAAGGGCAGCCCCATGTAGAGGGTATTGCAGTAGTCCAAATGAGAGATAACGAGAGCTTGGGTGACTGTACGGAGGGCATCCCTGTCTAGGAAAGGGCGTAACTGGCGCCCAGGCAAACCTGTGCAAAAGCCCCCCTGGTCACGGCTGTCAGATGGTCCAATAAGGACAGCCGTGAATCCAGGAGGACGCCTAGATTGCGAGCCCTTTCAGAGGGAGTAAGCAACTCCCCTCCCATCAAGAGGCTGTCCAATTGGATGAATGGCTGTCCAATTTCTTGTTTTAAACCTCCAGCACCACCAACTTCTAGAGGCAAGTCGTTCCACTGATGAATTGTCTTCACAGTCAGGAAATTTATCCTTAACTCTAGGTTGGATACCCCCTTGATTATTTTCCATCCATAGCCCCCTGTCCTGCCTTAAGGTGCTTATCAGAGACCTACAGTTGTGGCCAAAATTGTGGAAACCTTTTGGGGAAAGTGTATTTTCTAAAATTAGCTAATAACACCACATTTTGGCAGGGAGTAGTACCATAAAATTATATATAGTCCCATTTTAGGTATGAAAGTCAGCTGAGTGACTTTGGCTCAATCACTAGGAGATGTTGCGTTCTAGTCTTGTCTTAGCATGGAGGTTGGCCGGGTGACTTTGGGCCAGCCACTCACTCTCAGCTCAACCTACCTCACAACGTTGTTGTGGGAGAAAATGGGAGGAAGGAGGAGAAATAGGTTTGTTCACTGCCATGTGTTATTTATAAACAACAATAAAGGCAAGAAATAGAGGGGAGATATATTTATATATTTATTTATATTTAATTGGACTTATCTGCTTCCCTATCTCCACAGGGCGGCTCACAGCAATAAACAAAACAAACAGACCGTTAAAAACAAAGTCCATGATAAAATTGACAAAAAATCCAATAAAACCCCATTAAGTTCGATTAAAAACCCTATCAGTCTAGGGTGGCTAGATGAAATATCCACATTTTCAGCCCACGGCGGAAGGATCAAAGGTTGGGAGCCACCCGAAGCTCCAGAGGGAGTTGATTCCAAAGGTGGGTGTGCCTACAGAGAAAGCTCTCTCCCTGGGGGTCGCCCGCCGAGACTGCTTGGCCGACGGCACCCTGAGTAGGCCCTCCCTGTGAGAGCGCACCGGGCGATGGGGAGCTGTTGCTGGCTGCAGATGGTCCGCCAAGTATCCTGGGCCTAAGCCATGTAGGGGATATAGGTGATCACCAGCACCTTGAATCTCACCCGGAGGGCAACCGGCAACCAATGCAAGTCGCGCAGGAGAGGTGTAACATGGGAGTGTCTGGACACTCCCATCACTACCCACGCGGCCGCATTCTGCACCATCTGAAGCCTCCGAGTGGTCTTCAAGGGCAGCCCCATGTAGAGAGCATTGCAGTAGTCAATACGGGAGGTGACGAGCTCATGAGTGACTGTGCGTAGGGCATCTCAGTCCAAATAAGGGCGTAACTGGCACACCAGGCGAACCTGAGCAAATGCTCCCCTGGTCACGGTCATCACATGATCTTCCAAATTTAACCGTGAATTCAGATGGACGCCCGGGTTACGTGCTCTATCTACAGGGGGTAACACTTCACCCCCTATTTTTTATTTTATTTTATTTTATTTATTTGATTTATATACTGCCCTACTCCCGAAGGACTCAGGGCGGTGAACAGCCAAACAGTAAAAATACATAGATACAAAATTTAAAAACAAAATAAAATCGAATTAAACAATTTGGCCCAGACAAATTAAAACACCCCAATCATTTAAAAACTGATTAAAATTTGCATAATTAAAAAGGGAAAAGATTAGGCCAGGCCCGCCTGGTGGAATAAAAAGATCTTAAGAGTGCGGTGGAAAGTGAGCAGATCCGGGATCCTCCGTATCTCTGGCGGGAGCTCATTCCAGATAGTAGGTGCCCCCACAGAGATGGAATATCTTGTTCGAGCCGAGATGCCGGTACCCACAGCCACTCTGTCTTGGCAGGGTTGAGCCGATGTTAGGTATTTGCTATTGTACTTTTTTGACCACTAATGGAGTTGGGCTTAATTTTCAGTAGTAAAATCCAATAGAAACTGGGAGCAAGTTTAGCTCTTAGGTTTATGGAGTTTATAAAACAATTATAACTTTTGATTCTCTAAACATAACCATCCCTGAAGGGTTGTGCTTGAAGACATTCTGGGAAGAACTGCAGTTACACTCCAAATAAATAAATAAGGAATTATGTCATGTCACAAATCTTATTTTCCTAAGAGGTACTTTACTGGTATACACATTAAACTAATCTAAGTATTAGAATGGCTTAGTTTGGGTTAAAAAATCCTGGAAAATGAACACAAGGATGGAGTTCCTAGAGAAACATCTTGAGATGGTTTTTGTCCCTAGTCACCCCTCCTCTGCATATATTTGATTGGGACATCTGGTAGAACCTCAAGTGAGGAAGTTGCTGTAGAGATGAGTGGTAATGGATTCTTAAATCGCATTAACCAGGAAATCCTAACAAATAGGTAACAGTAACAGAGTTGGAAGGGATCTTGGAGGTCATCTAGTCCAACCTCCTGCTTAGGCAGGAAACCCTACACCAGGCAAATGGTTATCCAACATCTTCTTTAAAACTTCCAGTGTTGGAGCATTCACAACTTCTGGAGGCAAGTTGTTCCACTGATTAATTGTTCTAACTGTCAGGAAATTTTTGCTTAGTTCTAGGTTGCTTCTCTCCTTGATTAGTTTCTATCCATGGCTTCTGGTTCTGCCTTCAGGTGCTTTGGAGAGTAGCTTGACTCCCTCTTCTTTGTGGCAGCCCCTGAGATATTGGAAGACTGCTATCATGTCTTCCCTAGTCCTTCTTTTCATTAAACTAGACATACCCAGTTCCTGCAACCGTTCTTCATATGTTTTAGCCTCCAGTCTCCTAATCATCTTTGTTGCTCTTCTCTGCACTCTTAAAAACCTCCAGTGATGAAGCACCCACAACTTCTGAAGGCAAGCTGTTTGGCTGGTTCATTGTCCTCACTGTTAGGAAGTTTCTCCTCAATTCCAGGTTGCTTCTCTCCTTGATGAGTTCCCACCCATTGCTTCTTGTCCTGCCCTCAGGTGCTTTGGAGAATAGCTTGACTCCCTCTCCTTTGTGGCAGTCCCTCAGATATTGGAAAACTACTATCATGTCAACCCTAATCCTTCCAATTCCTGCAACAGTTCTTTAAGTCTCCAGTTCCCTAGTCATCTTTGTTGCTTTTACTTACCTAAACAAGAGCCTTGGTGGTGCAGTGGACTAAACTACTGCTGTTAAAGTAGTACTTAGCTGCCAGCTGCCTGCAATTACTGCGAGTTCAATTCTCACCAGGCTCAAGGTTGACTCAGCCTTCCATCCTTTCGAGGTAGGTAAAATGAGGACCCGGTTTGTGGGGGCAATAAGCTGACTTTGTATAAAATAGTAGGCCAAAAAGCCCTACTAAGCAGGTATATACAAAAGTATGAAGGCTATTGCTTAAAAGCATTGTAAGCCGCCCTGAGTCTCTGGAGAAGGGCGGCATATATAAATCAAACTAATAAACAAACAAACAAACAAATAAATAATTGAAGAATGGTTTTTTAAAAATGTACCAAAAGGCCTTAATTAATCATAATCATAAGTTTATTTGTCAAGCATATATAAGATAACAGGTAAAAGTATAAACATAATTTGAATACATGAAAAGAGTAAGCAAAGAGTAAGTAAAAAGAGTAAGTAAGTAAAAAGAAAGAGTAAGTAAAAAGAAATATTAGGACAGGGGTGGTAGGCACGCTGGTGCACTTATGCACGCCCCTTACAGACCTCTTAGGAATGGGGTGAGGTCAACAGTAGACAGTTTAAGGTTAAGGGTTTGGGGAAGAAACTACAGTGCTGAAGCCCCATCAGAAATGTAAAAAACAGAGAAGACAATGGTGACATGTCATGAGTTCATC